TGTTGAATAAAGAAACTCGGGCCGCGGCGGCCGCTGCTGCCTTTACAGCCTCCACACACCTGAAGGAAGCGGTCCTAGGTAGGTTCAGCCCGTGCTGTGGCCCCTCGGTTGAGCTGTGCCAGCTCCACCACTGCAATGTGGCACAACCCTGTGCTGGTGCCAGCTGAGATGCTCTCCCGGGGGTCCCAGGGATGCTCTCCCAGCACCCAGGGGAGCCCAGGGATCTGCAGGAAGGAGCTGGCTGGTGGCTGCTGGTTGGGCTGCTGCTGCCATCTCCTGGTGCAGGATCAGCCCTTGGCTCTGGCCATCGCTGACTCCTGCCCTTCCAGCTTGTGATGGGGATGTCGGTTTTGCAGCAAACTTGCTGGCTTTGGTTACAAGTAAAAGTGGATTTAGTGAGCAAAGGCTGTGATCAGCTGGGCAAAAAGAGTTTTACTCTAAAACCAAGCGGGAGTCTATAATTACCCAAACAGCATCATTCCTTTCATTTTTATCAAGAATTGAATTTTTTTAGCCCTGGCTGCTGACTTCTCAGGTTTCACACACTCAGCTACAGCCAAATTTTTGGTGCTGCCTGTGCTGTTTTGCCTGAGAAATGTGGATAGTGGGATGCTTTAGTACCAAAGTGCACGTGAGTGGTGTCCACAAACCCCAGCACACCCTGCCATGCATCATCTACGTTTCTTTTTCTAATCCTGAGCTTCAAAACTGCTGTATAGCTGTGCTTGTGCCTTGGGGTGGTGAATCAGGGGCTGCAACTCATGTTTCTTTTTGATCTGTCCCTTCCTCTGTTCCCTGTGAGAAGTGAAGATGGCTGAAGATGAGGACAGTTTGGAGACAGAGATTGTCTACCCCATCACCTGCGGGGACAGCAAAGCCAACCTCATCTGGAGAAAGTTTGTGTGCCCTGGGATCAATGTGAAGTGTGTGCAGGTGAGAGTAAAGGGCCCCAACGCTGGACTCATGCCTTTCCATGCCCATCTTGCAGGCTCACCTGGCTTGCCCTGGTTTTGATGAGCTTTGGGAAGCTCCTTTGCGTCAGAACCACATCATGGTGGGCAAGGAGGAAATTTTCTTGGTACTCTGATATATTTGTCTTCTCGGCCAAGTTGAGCAGTCCTGGCTGGAGAGATGCTGCCTCAATTTAACTGCATTATGGGACAGCTTGAGAAATTTGGGTGCTTCCAGTGTCTGCTTAGTTTGAAAGTTGAGAATTTGTTGAGAAGTTTATTGGTAGGGGACCTACTGAAGAGCTTCTCCTGTGCCTTGGATTACTCATGGTTAAAACTTGCATGAATTCAGGAACATACCGTGAGTGATGCTGTCACAAGCCATCGCTGGCGTTTATACACGGACTCAACAGTGCTCTGCTGAGGGAGTATCTCCTCTGGGCTCTGTTGACAGAGGACATACCAAAGGATGATCCTTGCCCTTTGTAGGAGAGATGGTCTTTGCCATCCCCGAGGCAGAGGACAGGTGCTGCTGCAGATAATAATGCTGCTGCTGCCTAAAATCCATCCTCTCTTTGCACCGAAGCCCACGTACTTGTTCAGAGGAGCAGTTTCTCCTGCAGTAGTGGTGAGTTGGTCTCTAGGTTGGTCAACACAGGCATTGAAAAGAGGAGGCCTGGACTTGGGAAATCCTTTCAGAGATGGGCTGTAAAGCAGCTCTTTAGAGGACTGCCTGGTTCTGCAGGTCACTCGTAGGTCAGCACATGGGTTCAGTCCTAGCTGGGTGTGTAGGGCAATAAAAGCAGAGGGAAGAGCTGGCTGCTGATGGGGCGTGTGCCAGCTCCTGCCAGATGGTTTTCCACAGAAGTGGGTGTGTGCTGTGAGAAAGGCCAGAGGTTTCACTGGTGTCGATGGTTGGACTTGGTAGCAGGAGGTCAAAGACTGAATGGGCTTCTCCTTCCCTCACTTGCACTAGCATGCCCCTGGACCCAAACCTCCCCAGGGCAGCCCGGCTTTGGTTGGGAGTCTCCTCATTAGTAGGGGTGTGAGCAGCTCCCCACTGTTAATGATACTTTGCCCAAGTGATGGGTGTTCTCCTCGGCTTTCCTGCCTGGGCTGTGGGCGTTGGGCAAACTCCTCTGTGCTGCACACATCACCCAAACCCTTGGCTTTGTGTAGCTGTTAACTAACCACCCATGAAAGCAATATTTCACTTTATTTTTTTTAACTTGATCAATGTTTTCTAAGGTGGGGACCTGTGTAGCAGCCATCTGTTTTGGTGATGGTGTTTCAACAGCACGTTGGGGCTGTGCTGCAGCTGCACACCATGGCTGGGCACCGGGCAGTGCCACCCGGGCAGCCTGGCTCCGCTGCAGGGTCGTGCTCGCAGGACACACTTCCATTATTTAGTGGCTTCTCACACTGATGTTTCACTCCTGCCTCTTGCAGTTTGATGATCACCTAATTAGTCCCAAGGAATTTGTCCACTTGGCGGGCAAGTCAACCCTGAAGGACTGGAAGCGGGCGATCCGGATGAACGGGATCATGCTCCGGTTAGTCTCTTTGTATCTGCAGAGTAACAGTGGAGACTTCTTCTTTCGGGGGGTGTGTGGGGTGGGACAGAGCCTTTGGCATGACTGATGTGCTGCTCAGAGAGTAAATGTGCTACTGAACGTTTCTCTTATTAACAGCCTGGCCCCAAATGTGATCTGTCTACTGGCTTTGCTTTATCCTTTGCCTAGGGAATAATTTGAGGCAAAAAATGTTTCCTTGATCTTTTTAGGACTTGAACCACGCTGGGTTCCCAGCTGACATAAGGTCATTCAAAATTTTAATGGCCACTGATAGTCAGGCCGTGCTGTCTACGGGTTCTCGGTGTGACCTACCAAATGGCAGTCAGTCTGGTCATCCCCTGATGCTCCCATGACAGCATGTCTGCTTTACATCACTATTTTTTTTTTTCCCAGAGACTTATTCAAACCTTATTTATGCAAACATTTCTCTTCTTTAGTCTTAACTCCAGTAATTTAATTCTTCTATGGTCTTCTTGGAACACCAGCCTGAGACTGTGATTTAATTAAAGTCTGTCTCTGCCTGTAGGCAGGATAAAAAAGCATCAGCTCTTTCCCCAGGAATTGTCAGTGGTTTTGTACTCTTTTCACAGGGTGACTTTGCCTTTGCCTGTGTTCTTCTGCTTCGATGCAGGCGTCTCCCGTACTCCTTCTAAGCAGCTTTTGCTCCACGTAGGTTTTGAGTAATAGGCTTGTGCTTTGGCAAGGCAAGTCTTTCAAGGGAAAAAAAAAAATCATGAGGAATGTGTGAAGGCAAGCCCAGAAGCTCATGGGAGCAGATCTCGGGAAGCTCAGGTTGTTGTTGGCCAGCAAAGCCTGGGGATGCTTTGGAGACAACGTGCTTAGACTGGGAAGATCTCATATGCCAACATTGCAACCTCCTTTGCTTGAGCTGAGAGATGTTGTTTTAGTTTAGAAGTAGGGTTATGCCCCATCTATTTTTGAGGTGGAGAGTCAAAAAGGGAAGGAAAAGACTTCCTGATATCTCACCCTGAACTGAGACTTCAGCCAACCCTTCTGTTGGAAGCTGCAGGCATGGATGGGGGTGAAAGTGCTGGTGGGACCAGACTGGGTCCTTCTCTTCTCCTTCCTCCCTCAATAAACCAGGAGTTCTTCAGTCCCAGCAAGGGTTCCTAGTCTGAATTACAGACTCTCCCTTCTCCAGGGAAGTGGTCAGGAACCAGATCTGCTCCAGTCCCTTCACTGCAGCTACAGCATGATGGGCTTTTTTCTCCCCATCCCAGCTTCCCGAAGGCTTTACCACCACTGGAGTGTTGTGTGGTACATCACTATGTGCGTGTGGCCAGTATGGAGCAGGCTGTGGATGCTGTTTTAATTAACTCTTGGTTAATGCTGCCTCTGAGGTCAGGAGACTGGGGAACTTGTCAAGGGAAATTCAGACTGTTGCCTCTGCTCTCTTGGCTTTTGATTTTTGTCTGGGACTTGGAGAAGTTTGGAGGTGAAGGCTGCCAGGAGCTGCATCTCGGAGCTCTCTGCCCACGCTGATGTGCCTCTCCCTGTGCTTGCTCCCTGTTTTTTCAGGAAGATCATGGACTCAGGAGAGCTGGATTTCTACCAGCACACAAAGGTCTGTTCCAACACCTGCCGGAGCACCAAAATCGACCTGACAGGAGCCAGGGTGTCCTTGACCAGCCAGACATCGACGGAGTACATCCCTCTCACTCCCGCTTCCGCGGATGGTACGTCCATTCATTCCTCACACCCCAAATCAGGCTTTGAAGCATTAAAGCACAACGAATGCTGTGTAACTGACACCCCTTAGGGTTGCCTCTCGTGTTGGCTTTGTGGGTTGTTTTATCCCCTGCTTTCTCTCACTGCTCTGTTCCAGGATTCCCCACAGCAGAGCCAGGCAGGGTCGTTGTTTGAGGGTCTCGGCAGAGATGCAATAACTCCCCTAGTTGCTCTGTAACACTGCATGACCCAAAGAGCTGCCCCTCTGGCCTCCTGCCTTACCCCAAATTGTGTAGATGCAGCAGAAAACTGCAGTTAATCTGTAAGAAATCAGTAGCTGTTGCTTAGTGAAGTTCCCTTTTGCTGCCAGTCGGGCACTGTGTCCGTAGTGCTCATCCCGGGAGGCAGGGGTCAGCTCGGCTGCACAGGGTGCTGGGTGGGACTCCCTCCTCCTCCTCCTGGCTCTAACCTGACTTCTTCCAGAATAATTTACAGGTTTTCATTTAAGGCTCCCTGGCTGAATTATTATCAGGCTTGTCTGATGAAAGGTTAAAAAGAACTAGGGGACTACAACTGATTGTTGTTTATCTGCACTTGTGTATGTAGCACATAAAACTGGATTTAAATGATGCTGTGGCTACACAGCTGTTGGCCTAAACTTAATTTGACCTATAACTACCAACAGCTATTTTATTGGAAAGCTTTCTAAGTACTTCTGTATTTCTTAACTCCTTTTGCTTCTGAGATTTAAGAACAGCCCCTAAAACGCCACACTCTGAGCTGCTGGTGGTGTATGTGGGAGCCCTGGGCTGGCTCTGCAGAGCACCTTTGGCACCACAGCCCTGTGTTGTGGTGGAGAAGCTGATGCCTGGTGCAGCCTGTCCCGAGCCCTCCCATTAAACATGGACATTGGCTCGCTAACGAGGAGATACTTCCTATGCTGCTGGGCTGTGCTGGAATAACCAGAGCCCTGAAGGCTGCAGAGTAATTGGATTTAATGGCAGTGGCTGAGCATTAGAAACGCTCCGTGCGGCACTGCAGGTCTCTGGCCAGATTCCCATTCATCCTGCTCCTGTGTACAGCTCGAGTGACACCGATTCCCCCGGCTCTGTGGTGACAAAACTGCTGATCATTGGCAGAGCTTGGAGGGAGGGAGGGAGGGAGCCCCCCTGCATCCCTGCACAGCAAGGGGGATGCTGTCCCCTTCAGAGCTTTAGAAACCCTCCAGATATCCCAGTGCTGCAAACTGTAAGCTGGACAAAATAAGGATTGCCAAAAAAAACCCAAACCAGCCTCTAAATCAGTTTGACTTTTGCCCTGAGCAGTGCTAGTGTGTACACAACAGGGAACGGGAGGGAAACACTGCTCTTGGGCATGTGTTCTTGTGCAAGGGTTAGAGAAGTGATCCCTGGGGTATTGCCCTCCAGTGTGGAAAAATAAGTCCTGCTGGCACAGCGACCGCGTGCGGCTTCACCGTCCACTGGGGCCTCTGAGCTCAGCTTGGAGAGCTGCGGTCAGATAAAAGTGGTTCTGTGCAATCAAAAGTAGAAATGCAGCAAGGGAGTGCTTCCCTCAGAAACAGCCCATGAAAAATACAGAGAAAAATCAGGACTTGGGTTTTGTTTTTTTTCTTTTCTTTTTTTTTTTTGCTATTGGTTGCAGTGAACGGATCCCCGGCTACAATTACCATAGAAACGTGCGAGGATGCCGGCGACTGGAGCACCAGCATCGGAGGTACGGCTTTGGGGCCTGCCGGGGCCGGG